GTGAAGCCATCTTCAACCACTTGGAGCAACGTTCCCACTAGCCTCCTGGAAACACTGGCATCAAGCCTAAACGATTGTTTGAAGTCATCAACAAGAATGGTGGAGCTACTCGTTACTGAGTCCTTTTTTCAAACTTTGATTTCTGTTTTGGGGGTTTTCAGGGTTTTTTTGAGCTATGGTCTTAAACTTTTGATCAGCTGAAAAAATCATGTTTGAGTGTAAATGCAGTTTTCAGAAAATTCCTGCTCAAAAGTTCTTGTCTCTTGCACTGATTTCTTCTTTTAACATTGTGAAGCTCTACTTAGAACCTTCTTAAGATCCAATAGTGCAAAATGCAAATTTTTGCACTTTTTTGACTGGTCTGAAGATTTTGATCAGGAATGTATTTTCTTCTTTTGTTTACTTAATACGTTTTTATTTGTAGAATTTTTCGGAACAATAAAGAAATAATGTAATTTTGAATTTCATAAAACAGATAAAACATCTAACCACACATTTCTTATTTATTCGACTCTGAATCTGCATTAACTGACTCGGATCATTCCGTAAATCGACGGAAAAGGCCGAAGGCCGCGATGCATGCTGGGAAACAGCAGCTTCGCTAATCCGCCATCTTTGCCTACAACGAGATTTTAGGGCAAAATAAGAAACAGTTTTAGATGTGTTTTTCAACAGAAAAGACCGGTTTTAGCAGGTTCGTTTGATTGGTTCTGGTCAGTTGTGGGTTCTCAGGAGACAGGTTCGGGTAAAGTCCTTATTTTTCTGCACACATCGGCAGCAACACACGGGAGGAGGACCCCCGAGCAGCTCACCATGGGCCGCTCACGGAGCCGCAGCTCGTCCCGGTCGAAACACTCGAAAAGCAGCAAGCACAGCAAGAAACGGAGCCGGTCCAGGTCCCGGTCCAGAGACAGGGAGAGGTCCAAGAAACGGTCCAAGTCCCGGGAGGCTAAAAGGAACCGGCGCAGAGAGTCGAGGTCCCGGTCCAACACAGCCTCGTCCCGCAGAGAGCGAGCAGCGTCACCGCCGGAGCGGATCGACATGTTCGGCCGGACTCTGAGCAAAAGAACCGCCCTGGACGAGAAGCAGAGGAAGGAGGAGGAGGAACGAAGGGCAGAGATGGAGAGACAGAGGAAGATGTGAGTAAAATGAACAAAAATATGAGTTAAAGTCGTTACATAACGTCACTTGTTGTGAAGCAGCTGCTCAGTGCTAAGCTAACATGTAGGCCCGCTGCGTTCATTTCAACGGGCTGCGGCTAACGAGCTAACGGCTAACGGTACTGTCATTCAGTTCGAGTGGAGGCTAACGAGCTAACGATACTGTCATTGAGTTGAATGAGAGGAGGCTAACGAGCTAACGGCTAACGATGCTGTCATTGAGTTGAATGAGAGGAGGCTAACGAGCTAACGATACTGTCATTGAGTTGAATGAGAGGAGGCTAACGAGCTAACGGCTAACGATGCTGTCATTCAGTTGATTGAGAGGAGGCCAACGAGCTAAATGCTAACAAGTGGCTGAAGCTAAAAGCCTCAAATTCTCAAGTCAGGCTGTATTTAGTTAAACAAGCTGAAGCTAATAAGCTAAATGCTAACTACAGATGAGGCTGAGGTGGTTTATAAACCTGGAAATACATTTTAAAGTTCTGCTTTTTGTTTATTAGCTTGTTAGTTTACTGTGTAGGTTATATACATGCTATTTTCAGACATAAACAATCAGATAAACATAGATTTTTGTAGTGTTTTATAAATGATGCTACTTTTATTTGTTTGTTTATATGTTTAAATTGTCCTGGATGTACCTGACTGTGTTCAGCAGTGGTAAATATCCACACTGCTGGATTTAAACTTGAACTCACTGATTGATTTATTTCCACACTAACATTTCTCAGCTGCAGGTGAGCCGTGTTTCACCTGCTGCTCTCAGGTTTTAARACCTCAATCCAAGGAGTCAGATTATGGAATAATCTGGAAGATGATATTAAAAGTGTCTAATCAATGCACATGTGTGAATGATAAAGGTTGTTTTAAAAAAAAAAATGAAACAGTTTAATATGTAACCATTTAATTTGTTGTTCTAGAAAGATTTAATGCAGAGACACAAGTGTTCCTAGTCTTATATAGGTGT